CCCCAAAACCCCAAAACCCCAAAACCCCTTAATGGCGAAATTACTCATTTTTACAGTAACTTTGAATCTTTATTCATATCTAATAATATTAAAGATATTAGTTTTAGAAAATATGCAGTCCCTTGGAAAATTAGTTCAAAGATCCGCTGTCGCAAGAGCACTCTTCAAGCCAGCAGTTCTAAGCACTTAAGTGAGATTCAATCATTCAGATCCACATGAGGGCTGTCCAAATGCATGGGCCTATGCAGTTAAGGCAAGAGTTTAGTACCCAGCTCCAAGATTTGAAGGCATGTCATGGAATGTTGATTAATTCAAGAAGATCTCTCTTGATGATTACAAAGGAAAGTATGTTGTACTCTTCTTCTATCCATTGGACTTCACCTTTGTGTGCCCAACTGAAATCGTTGAATTCAATGAAAAATCCGATGAGTTCAGAAAGAATGGTAAGTATCCAAGATTATTCTAGAATTAACGGCATTAATGACCATATGTTGATGATCATTGATTAAGATAGATGTTAACTCTTAATATAGGTTGCGAACTTGTTGCTTGCTCTATCGATTCTCACTTCACTCATTAAGAGTTCGCTAATAAACCAAGAGACCAAGGTGGTCTTGGTGGAATGAAAATTCCCATGCTAGCTGATCTCACCAAGCAAATTGGGAAAGATTACGGTTGCCTTACTAAGGATGATGCTATCCACCTTAGAGCCACATTCATTATTGATACTAAGGGAGTATTGAGACACAGTTAATTCAATGATACTCCAGTTGGAAGAAACGTTGATGAAGTCCTTAGACTAGTCCAAGCCTTCCAGCACAACGACAAGCATGGCGAGGTTTGCCCATCAAAGTGGAAGCCAGGTGCTCACGGTATGGATGCTGATCACAAGAGCTCTAAAACCCTTAAGTACTGGAAACAAGAACACACTAAATGAGTTGACAGATAGTTGTGACTATAAAGACGATACTGAACAACTGAATGTGTTTCTGTTAATCTTCTATTAATAAATTTATTTAACTAAATTATCCATTGCATTAAAATATAGATTTATAAGCATTTTGAATTAATGTTAATAATACTTTTTTTCTTTATTGTGTTTGATAGGTTAGTCAGACCAACTGATTTTTAATTTAAATTTAAATAAAATGTCTTCATCTTTTTATCAAACTAAAGTAAGAAGCCCAAAGAACTAAGGGACATTGAAGAATGGGGCGGAGAGCAAGCAGCGAAATTTAAAGTCCAGAAACCAAGCCTAGCCAGATAAGATAAGAGGTCCTCATAAAAGAAACTCCTCTACTCGGTACAATGATTTCTCATTTTCACTATCTCTTATAATCGATACCATTCAACAGTAATTTGCGAAACTCACTAAGGTCCTCTGTGGATCCTGTAATTTCAAGCATTCCAAGCAATTAAGCACTCTGGATATCTCTATCAAGCAGGCTAAGACTTTTCTATAAGAGTATTTTAGTATAGATGAACATCCCCTCTCTTCCCAAAGATAAAGTCTGAATGAAGTCACAGAGAAGACTCCATACTAAACTTTTCTAAATGACTACTATGATGAAAACATTATGATATCACATAGGGGAATTCAAACACAGATACAGTCAATGAATGTTGAGAATCTGCGGAACAAAAATCTTGACCTTAAGGTGAACTAGGCTTATGAGTACTTCAGTGGGAGTAATTTTAAGACTTCTAATCAGAATTTGTGCTCCTAGGATATCTCATCTACTGAATTTAGATGCGATTAAGATGAAACAGAAGCTAATGAAGATATGGAATAAAATAGAGAGAATGTCAGACTTTCTACAATATAGGAAGAGATAAAGAAGCCATTTGAAAATTTTGGACTCATCAAGACTTCTATAATTCTGCAAAAAGATATAAAAGTCAATTACTTTAACTGCACTTAAGTCAATTTAGGTAGACACTGGAATCCAGTAATGCATAAATAGAAGAGAAGTGATTCTTAGTTAAAGCAGCTCTAGCAACAGTAGTAGTTGAAATCTATTGAGAGCAATAAAGAAAACTAGCTAACTAGATGTAATCAGTCATAGATAATTCTAAGGTAAATAAGTTAAGATCGGCCTGTTAGCTACAGGTATGATCCCAAGTTAAATCTAAAGAATAGAAGACCCTTGTCATAGTGCTTTGTTGATGATGAAAGCTAGGAAAGTTAGAGATACTCATAAGCTGGGTACTAATTGGATAGTTTCAGAAGAAAAAATAATCAGACCCCTCTTATCCAGATAGATGGCTCAAGCAGATTATTATTCAATTGAATTTTACATATAAAATGCTCAAGTCTATCATGTATACCATCAAAAGATCCTCAAATAAAATATAATTAAGTCTTAATTTCATTAAAAAGCTATTAAGTTATTAAATAAGATATTGATTCATAACTATTATTATAAATTCTTCATTTCTTTTCTGTTGTGTCGAAAATTCGTCATTCACTTTTAGAACTGGACTAAATAGTCTAGCTGCCAGTAACCTAAGATTATATTAAAGATTTGGGGCTTTTCTTAATAAAATTTGTTTAGGATAGCCACTGATCTATATACTCGTATATGAACTCATATTAACTGAGTACTTATACCATGCAGTATCTCTGTTCTCTAAGTCTTCTAACTACTCCAAATACTGATATTCTTGGTTCTATTACTTCTTTTTCTTCATCTAGTTATAATTATAAATCTATTAAAATTACATGAAAGGGAGTTATACTGTCCTGAATGCAGAAGGAGTTCTTTATTTTTGCAAAGTCTCTCCAGGGCTAATTAAATATTGTATATGGCTAGGATAGTTCCTGTTCTACCAATTCCCGCACTACAGTGAATCACAATTTTGTTTTCTGAGTTATTAGACAAGCTCTTTTGATGATATTCTCTGATATATTCTAAAATCTATCCCACAATCTTGAAGTCTGTTGCTTCTGGAGCTCCATAATCTGGCCAAGCTAGATATTACAAATGTATCATGAATCTCTCCTCCTAATTCTATGTTGGCATTTATTTGCATGAAGTAATATTACCTCTATGTTGATGATTTTGATTTTTCTTTGAATTAGGTTAGGCATAATGGACTCTACAGATATAAGAGTTACTTGCAATCCAGATTCTTCAAATGTAAAACTCTCTTCCACTTCAGCAGGCCAATATTAATCACACTTAGACTTCCCATTTTCCTTAACACAACAGAGCATTATTACAAGTTAAACCTGCTCTTGTTCAATCATTCTCCAAAAGTTTTCTCTTGTGATTGATAAGGGTCCTTACGTAGCTATGAATATCTGATCATTTTGACTCGTTGACGTATTCACATAGTTTGCATTCATGTATGAATCTAATACATCAGCATTTCTCTGCACTAATCTAACTCTTGTGTGTTTGACTAAATATCAAATTTTAGAATATATAATTTTAATACTTACAAGGTCTCAACTTCTGATATCTATTCAGCTTTGAGCTTTCTTTTTCAAAAGCCTCCTAATTATTATCATGTTCTTTCGTCTCAGTTAGCTTTCTAACTAATCTAAATTCAGTTTCTAAGTCTCTTAGATCTGACTCTAGGCTAAATCTTTCTATTGCTATGCCTGCCTCAATTAACTAGACTTTTTCATTCCTTAATACCCATTTATATGACATATCTTATGATGGCTCAGGTCCTTCAATTAGTGCATATGGTATTGACTAACTGGATCTTCCTTTTTTCAAACTAACTCTTGACCCCTATTAAAATAATTTCATCCTTATTAAAAAAATTTACATCGCTTTGCATTTATTAGCCTCCACTCTTGCTACTTCTCCCAGAGGACCTCATATCAAACTGCTTCATATTGCTTGAACCTCCGCTGGCACTAACCTATCCACTGCCACCAATGAGATTTTCCATGGTTTCATTTATGTTGACCTTTTAATTCTTAGATGTTAGGACATATGGCTTTGTTTGATATTGTTTGCTTTCCTCTCTCAAATCTGAAAATGCCAATGCCTCATTGTCCTCCTAGTCTGACAGGTTCAGATTACTTGTCCTTCTTTGGGTTGTGTTTATTTCTCTTTTAGGCTGCTGTTGAAAATTCCTCTCTGGTATCTCCTCATCAGCTCCTGAGCTATCAAAGCCAAAATTTACTATTTGGATTTAATATAAATGAATTCATACACTTAAGGTTTTTCTTCATCATTGTTGATTTAAATTATAGAGTTGACTTATAAAATGAATATTGGAAGAAATATTAATAAGAAATTAATAGATTATAGGCTATAATAATAAGAATAAAAATGAACCCATTGTTTAAGTGTTGTGGCTACTATTGCTCGTGTCTACTCATCGTAAGTATCGTGGTCTTCGGCATCCTGATTGGCTTAATTCAGTCGCACAATCCCTGGTTGACTAGAGAATTCAAACACGACATTGACTCAAAAGTGGACGCTTTAATAATCGCCATTATTGTAAATGCAGTGTGCTTTGTTCTTTGCATTGCTTGCCTAGTGATTGGCACATGCTCAGAAATCAAGCAGAAGCAAATTTAAGAGAAAGAGGATGAAAATTTTAACTTCGGTCTTAATAAGAATCTGTGAAGAAAGATAGTAGAATAAATATAGTGGAAGTTATGACGATGTTGATTGCAGAGTATGTAAAGTCTATCATCATCCATCAGCATAACTTGAATATATATAGCTAACGTGCATTTTTAAAATCTTTAAATTCACATTCTCGCTTTATCATTCCGTAATGCATAATGGGGTTTTGGGGTTTTGGGGTTTTGGGGTCATTCTATCAGGAC